CATTACTTTAACCGGCCGACGTTTTGTCATGTAAAAAAAGACGGAGATGAACGACCCGATCGGCCAATAATGACGGAACGGTGAACGCTTTCGACGTGGCTGTTGTTACGTGTTCCACTTTGCTGATGCTTCGACGTGATATTCGCGCGAATTATTGACGACTCCGATAATAGCGACGGATCGCCGCGAGTAAACAACCCCCGGTGTATGACTATACACCAACGCGGACGGCGAAAGGGGGCAAAACGCCACACTGCAGAGGATGTGCAATTTTGCCGAGTTTATTGAGTCCTGAAATCGTTCGGCCGATAGAATCATTTCCTACGAATTTCCCAGCGAACGCGGAGAGAATCACAGAGCAGACGAGTGATGCGCGCGACAAGTGACACAACGCGAATGTTGCATATTTGAAATAGTCCTCCTGGAATCCTTGGATTGGAATCCCTAGTTTTTCTGTGTGTCAAAAAACACATCGTGCCCTGATTTTAGTCGCACTAACAGGATACGTTTCGGCCAAAAGTTTTATTGAGGTAGTCCATGTTGGACTACCTCAATAAAACGTCCTCGACCTTTAAGTGTTCACTTATTGCTTTATGATGTATATTTATAACACGATGTCCCTGGCAGAAATATATGCATAGACACCTGACCAGTTACTGTCTAGTATTAATGCATTCCCATCAGTTGTAAAAATATTCCGTAAGAAGTGGACAAGAACTCGATAGGTAATTTCATTCAGTAGTTGAAGCAGCTTACCGTACGATACGTGGACCGACTTCTTCCAAGATATACACGGAAAAAAAGATCTGCTACATATGGAAAACTACAATAATTAACTGTATTAGCCACTTTTTCTTTGCTGCAGGAGCAATTTCCTTGCTATGATAACAAAAAAATCTGCTCCTGCAAAAAAGTAGCTAAAGCAGTAAATTATGTTTAGTTGTCCATCTGTAAAATTCGCTACGTTAGCTTTTCTTGTTATAAGAACAGACTTTTCTGTTATCATAGCAAGAAAATAGGTTCCTGCTACAAAGAAAAAGTAGCTAACACAACGAATTATATTTAACTGTCCATACGTAGCAAATTAGTTTGCTGTTGCAGTAAATTATTTTTTCCGTGTAGTAACAGTAATATTAGTTCAGTTTTATAACATTAATAAACTCAAAACATATATATTTACATTGTTGAGAAAAGAGTTTAAAATTGCGTGAGCAATGAGTGTAAAAAGACGGAGAAACGAAAAAAAAATTGGGAGGAATAAGATGTTTGGCAACATTAAGCCTTGTGGCAAAGATGACCAAAATTGGGAAGCGAGTAAAAGACAAACGGTACATATTAGTGATATAGAATTTCATCACGATGAAAGAGAGAAAACACATCAGAATGAATGGCATTACTCTAATGGTAATGATACCAATAAAAACAGTCATGATAGATCGGACTTAGAAGTTGATGAAATAATACAACTATAAGAATGAATAAAAAAACATATGACATTTGATTAATTTATTCCATTTTTTTTTAATATGTTCTTCGCTATCGTTTTTTATTTCTGTATCCTTACGGCATTTGATTTTTTTTTCTTTTTATCGTGTAACTAAAGAATTGTATTCTCCTTTTCCCGTTATATATTTTCCCGTAATAAATGATTATAATATTTAACGACGGCGTTTTCGTCACTCACAAGTGAAGATTTGTAAATATATTTTTTTTGAGCGGCTGAAGTATCGATTCAGCCACAAGAAAAAGAAAAAATAATATTCGGAATGTTCGATTGATCGCACCTAGAGATGCGAGGTTCTCAAAAGCGTGCGACCCTACGTGAACCGTCCAATCGATATATAGGCTAAGCCGACTGACGTGGCTGCAAGTTTTTCATGCGTCACGTCTATTAATGCTAACGTATATACCCAGCCTACGTATGTGTTATGTGTGTGTGTATGTGTGTATGCGTTCGTGCGTGTGTACGTATTATTTTTTCGTGCAATGTCTGCCAAACCCTACAATCTCCACGTAAGAAACCGCGCGCGCGATTACGACATGTCTAAAAATAACGAGGCGGACTGTAACGACAATAATGTAAATATTTTAATTCGGAACTCTTCGTTTAAGCAATATTTCCCAAGTTAATATCGTAGTAGGCGAGGACTCGCTCTATAATTTCTATTTATAATTTCGCAAGCTCTCGCGCGCCGTCTTGCCGTATGTCCTCGTGTGAAACCGCCGACGTTGCTAACGTGAATTAAATTAATTATCCGCAGGATAAATTAAACCGCACGGTGGGAGATGCTAATCACGCTGGCGGTTACGTAAAGCGAAATTAAACGAGAGATCACGAGGTGCGTTTCGACCTCGTTGAAACGCTCGATAACGACGCTTACATTAATGCCACT